CTTTCTATTGACTACTTTTTTTCCTCCTGCCTGCAAGCCCTGAAACCATGCCGCTGAATCTTTTGTTGTCAGGTGGCTGACCTCTTACACAGTTCACGGGATGCTTCAAGATGACTCAGGGTACCTGCCTCTGTCTGGACTGTAATATATAGTCAGGGCATCAGCTACAACACCTGCTGTGCCAGTCAGCATCTAAAGTACCAGGGGTGGCCAGCGTCATTGGAGCTCAGTCCTTTGCTGCAGACAGATCCCAGCAGGCAGACAAGATCAGCAGCATGCAAGCTATCTACTGTAGGACATTTGGCTGTCAGGCAGTGGCTGTCTTCACTGCTCTTAGAAGCCAGACCCAGAGAGTAAACCAAGTATCAAGGGCAAGCAGGTCTGCTTGGGTGCACAGGGACAGGGATCTGGTGCTTTTCAGCTCTCAGACAGTCACACTTCTTCAGCTGTTAAGCAATCAGAGACACCACACCCCAGAGCTAGTCCTGCTCTCCCTCTGTTCCACCTCTTTTCTCTGCAGCTTCTGCCTTTGTCTTCTGAACTCAATATACATCACTGAAAATGTGTAAGCAAAGACTACCCAGGAGAAGGCTTTGGTGTCTTGATGTTGCAACACAGGAGAAACAACACAGAGGTGCTCCTGAAACAGCACTTAGCCCCACAGCATCTTCTGACACCTTCCTCTCCCACCCCTGGTGTGACTTTGAAGCAGTCACAGCTCAGCAGGATTCTTTCTGTCCCCAGGGCCTCCTGGTGGTTCCAGTCACATATTCCAGGAGCTCACAAGCCTTACACCTGATCCATAGTCCTAATGTAATCAATGTGTCAAAGATGTTCCCTTTTGTTTTCCCAATGTTATTCCTCCAAGAGAAAAACAAGCGAACAACAAAAACAACACTCTCTTGCCTTTCCTCCTTATTTTTTCTTTCTAAATATTAGTGTTTCTCTAAGCTCTTTCCAAGACTCGCTTCTTGACTCCTTTCTGTTTGTGTTATGTAAGTTAAGTTGTCCTTCTACCTAGGAATGGGGCATATATTACTAAACATCTTACATTTCTCAATGTGCATGGCTACTAGGACTCCTAGATTTCTGTTTTCAGTGCAACCATCTTTGAAAATAATTCAAAATGTCCTCAACTACTTAGTTCTATATTCAATTATTTTGCTACTAGTAAATTACTTTTTCATGTCTTCTCTGAATATATTTTATTATGTTTATATTGTTCAAAAAGGAAACATAATGTGTGAAGGCTTCTACTTACCATATCAGCCCAAACTTGTAGTTGGCCATCCCTTATTGCCAACACCTTTGCATATCTCTTCCTGTGTCCTCCATCCCACATTGGGCATTTTGCTATTTGCACACTTGTTATAGCTCATCAAGGTACACTAAACATTTTGTGTTAGGCTCTAACATTTTCAGGACCTCAAATTCTACAGCATATTATTCAAACTTTTTCCATTAACTTTTTTTTTTTAGTATCACTCTCTTTTCCTTGCTCAATAAGAAAATGAAAGGAAGGAAGGATGTGTGGATCTCATAGTTTCCCCTTAGTCAAAACAATTCTCTCTCTGGCTCCTCCCAGGCCTTGATCTGTACTCATTTCATAGCAATGACCACATTTGGTCTAATTATGTAGCACTTTATATGTAAGGCCCCAGTCCCTCAGTGAAGTTGTAAGTTTCTGGAAATGTTTAGAAATGCAAGTTCCATTTTTATTCTACATTTTCCCAGTTGAGGGGGATAAGCAATTGTTTCATGTTCCACCTTTGATTTTATAGAAATACATATACTGAGTAAAACTTAGTTTATGATAATATAGTGTTCTGCAATTTAATAACTAATCCTAAAACATTCTCTTTCATTTCCTACCTTTTCTTTTTGCTATTGTCGTTAAGACTCATGTATTAATTTTGATATTGGGTGTCCCTCATGAGCCCAGGCGGATCTCTACTTTGAGATCCTATAGCTTCAGCTTCCCAGTTGCTGGACCATATACCTGTGCCACAGTGCTCTACACAAAGTCTGTTTTTAAAAGAAATGTAACAAATACTTCACCTAAATGCTGTGCAATTAAACTCTTCTACTGTATTCAAATTAATTTCTTCTCTTCCTCACCCATACTCTCTGGAGATGATGAGGTCAATATTTTAGAATTGTCATTTCAGCTCTACTGACACAGAAATAGTATTTTTGCACCTTCTCTCTTCATAGGCCTGCTGTGGATATCGCTCTGTATGCTGAGAATGTGTCGCTATGATTGGTTAGTAAATAAAGTGCTGATTGGCCAGTAGCCAGGCAGGAAGTATAGGTGGGACAAAGAGAGAGGAGAATTCTGGGAACAGGAAGGCTGAGTCAGAAGTTGCCAATCAGACACAGAGGAAGCAAGATGTAAAAGTACCAGTAAGCCACAAGCCACGTAGCAACTTATAGATTAATAGAAATGAGTTAATTTAAGATATAAGAACTAGATAGCAAGTAGCTTGCCACGGCCATACAGTTTATAAGTAATATAAGTCTCTGTGTGTTTACTTGGGTCTGAACGGCTGCAGGAGCCAGGTGGACACAGGAAAACTCCAGCTACATAGGCCCCCTATTTCTACTGCTTTGTTTTAATGCTAACAATGAAAGTTAGAGTGCTAAAGCTTGTCTTGGTGCTGTGTTCCTAAAGCATAGGAGAGTAGATCTATGAATTTCTACTCAGTAGTAAGGGATCTACCTTCAAACCAGGACTAGGTTAAACATTAAAAGAGTTCAAACTTTACCAAGTATGAGGTCTAAAGTTTGGAAGGACCAGGAATCATGACTGCTGCATAGCTATGTCACATCAAAAGAGAAAGGCAGAAGTCCAGCAGAGACTGCAATCTAGAAATGTTTCCCAGCTGGTGCTGCTGAAGAACACTGTCCTCTCAGGCAGCCAGAGGCAGACCCTGTGCCTGCAGTGAATGAGAAGGGATAGATCACTACCGGAATTCATGTGTAAATGTGACATTTTTTAAAAGGGTTATTTCACATGAATATTGATGAACAGCTTATATTTATTCATTAGACATGAGAAAAAAATGGAAAATTAGAAGTCTCAAATAGGGTGTTCTTGGATACTATAAGCTCAGAGGATAAACTGGCTAAAGTACAAGTATGAATGCCAATCATTATTTTCACATTACTGTGAGTTATGCTTTGGCTTACTTTGTTAAAAAGTCTCAAAAATGTTTTTTTTTTCCTTAATGTGGCACTAGATTCATGATAAGCAGTTATTTTGTCATTAATAATGTTTTATTGCTTTCCAAATCAAGTAAAATGTGTAAATTGGAGATCATTTTCCATGTAATAATTTGATAATTTTTCTAAAATTTAAACTGTGATAATATTGATCACAAGATACTAGGATAAAGAAATTGTTCAGTGACTTCAAAATAGTTGACATACATTTGAAGATATTTAATATGTTGAAACTACAGTTCTGTTCACTATTTTACATATTTAAAAAAACCTCAATTACTAAGAATATTAAAGGATGGTTTAATATGAAAGACACTGTTGAGTTGGATTGGCTTACTTTTTATGTGTAAATTATTTCCTTAAGGAAAATTAAAAAAAAAAATTTGTCCGTGAAACAGTTCACCTTCCATGATAGAATAAATGTCAATTGCTGTTTTGGAAAACTGAATAAATAAGAAAGCCGAGAAAGAGTCATATTGAAAGAACTTTCATGTAGACTATTTTTCAGAGTATATCTTTAAATAAATTTCCCAAAGTGAAACACATCAATAAATATGTAGCTAATTACATAATTATTTCTGACATTTTAAATTTCAAACACTCCTTCATTGTGAAAGGAAGTCCTCTTAACCATTCCTCAGTATTGGCTCCAAAAGCTCCAGCTAATAGAGAAGCTTTGGCTATGATCAGCTACAAGCATAGAGATCAGTTTTTGTTAGTGTGAGCACATCATATGGTGTACATTTATTGATATTAAAACAGTTGCAAGAATTACCTTTTCACCTGAGTTCACCCTAGGAGACCAAAGAGTTTATTGGACTTACACACTGACAATGCATAAGGGGTTACTGACAGGAGTGTGGGTACCCCAAAGCAGTAATGCTTGAAAGTCTTCACCCAGAATAACAGCTTTCCCATAGCTCTCTAAGTGGACCCCCTACCATTCTCTAGTGTTTTCCATACAATGTACTTTAGCTTCTCCACAAGACCAGGAGGCCACATGTGATTAGGGCAGACTTGCATACCACTGAGTAGGACGAAGGCTGGATCCTCAGGCGATTGCCTATTTACCCTCCATACCCCTTTTCTGAAGGAGCATCAACAGTTAACAAAACTAGTGTAAGCAGGAACAATTGACCTTATGAAGATGGCAGTTGTTGGGCTGAAGATAGTGCTGTGCAACATCCCCTTAATGAAGGAAAACTGAATTGAAACTACATACACAGGATTATGTAATAAGCACATGTAATAGATGATGCTAAGAAGTAGCAAATATATAGGAGAGCAACATTGAATTGATAGTTACAACATGCAGCAAGACTCAATTAAGAAATGCTTGTTGAAACTATGATGCTAGAGTTACTATTGAAATATCTTTTCAGTTTTGAAGGTCCTTGGATTTGTTGGAGATTTTTTTTATTTTAATAATCTGAAGAGAAAGAGCATTTAGACATTTTTAGGCCTGTATAATCCTCTCACTCTTTTTCTATGTAAGTGACATATTTGGTTATTTGAATAAATAGTATTTTCATCTTACTATTGATCTTGGCTCTCTTTTAGAAAGTAGTATTCTTTTAAAAGCACTCCTGAATTACAGATCTGAAGTAGTTTCAATTGTTTTTTGTGTACATATGCGCAAGTGTATACTTATGTATGAGTGTATGCCTCATTACTTCTTAATGGTAAAGTTTAAAAGCCCATAATCATTAGTTATACTTGATAGAAATTGCACTTTTACTCTCCCTTAATTCAGACATTCTGTTGGTTTTGTTTTCTAGTTCAATTTTGTGGGAAAATTGCTTGGACCAAGAGGAAACTCCCTGAAGAGGCTACAGGAAGAAGCAGGTGCTAAGATGTCTATCCTTGGCAAAGGATCCATGCGAGACAAAGCAAAGGTACAGAGCTTTGAGGTTGCTTCTTAACACACTGGGGGGGAGGGGGCTCCTGAAATACTGGGGGAGCTGTTTACAGTACACAGAGATGACTTTCTCCATTCCCTGTGCCTTTTGCTTTCCGGGACCACACGGCTACCCATTCTAATGTCTCTCCTCTTCAGTCATTGTCTCTGCCTCCTCCTCAGGACATACTTCCTGTTGCCTTCTGTAGTTCTCACTATAAGCTGCTGTCATGTTGCTGCACTTTTTAAAGCCTCTGTGGGACATTTCTATAGATTAATACTCAGGGTTTCTAATTCCCTAGTTGAACACTTGTCCTTCTATCCACTAGTCCCATCCGTTCTCTCATTTTATTCTCTCCTCTAGTTCACTTTGATCCATTTAACTAATACATATATCTGAAAACATAAGAAAATCCTGGTTGTGCCTTAAAATATTTCAGTGATATTATCACACAATACCTGAGTCGAAGACAAGGAATAAGCTAAGAAATATCAAGTTTGGAGTTTGTAATTTTTTTTATTTCACATCTGAGCAACTTAACTTCCAATTCATAAAGTGCGATCATCTTTCCAGTGTTTGAATCCAGTATTTACAGAGATGTATTCATAAGGAATCCTGAAAAATTATTTTGTAAGCAGTGGGAAGTGTACAGTTGCATTTTTTGACCAGACTATGTTTTTATCATTTCATATATTACACTATTATGGGAAATGACCACGAGAATGCTTGGAAATCGTGTATAGGTTTTATCTTTAAACTATTAAGGAAAGATCTTAAATGAATGATTTTAAAATAAAAAAAGTATCACTAAACTGGTCAATAATTTATCACTCATAAATTATTTTATAATTTTTGTAGTAAGCAGTTAGATATTGAGTAAGTCACCTAAATGGGCACTTTTTACAATGGTGCACTGGTCATGTCTCTAAATTACAAAATTAACGATTTTACTGATCTTTAATTTTGAATACTCATGATTGTGTAAAATTTCAGAAATGAATGAATTGTTGCCAGCCCTTCCCATTCTTGTCACTCTGACTGCATTTAGAAGAAACCAGGTAAACATTTGAGAGCAGGTAGCTATAAAATAATCACTTGCCCCTTGTCACATCCAATTTTCATTTTCTTCAAAAACAAGATGAAGTTGAGACATTTCAATTCATTTTCAAATATTCTTTAATATTGAATATTTAATTATTTAATATAGAACATAATATGTGAATTTGCTATTTTCCCCAGCTGTGTCAAATTCTTATAATATAAACTGTGTACTTTTCAAAATTAAGGATTAGATTAAGCATCATATATCCCTTGAAACGTTTCTTGAGCTCTGCAGTATCTTGACATCTCTTTTACACTCACAACTCGCTGGCTCATTTATTTGTATATCTCGTTGAAGTCTTAACTCTTCCAGGATGGGAATGGCCTAATTAGCCTTTGAGCATTAGGGACCTCCATATTATTTCTTCCTGCCTTTTAAAATAGATAAATGCCTATTTTTCATCTCTATATATTTGGGCATTTTTTGTTCATGAAGAACTACAATGGATAATGTTAGGTACCAGCAAAATTCTCTGAAAATGCAATAGGAAACATATTTGCTTCCATTAAATTTTCATTTGGTTTAACTTACTAAAGTCACTTATTACTTAACATTCTGTTTCTAATTAATTTTTTGGTGACTCAACATAGTTGGCTTTGCTTGTAATGTTTTCAGTTTTCATTACAAAATTAAATTAAAAATTTAAAAAAAACAAAGTGCTTAATATTAATATTGCACCATACAACACATTTTTCTCAAATCTAGGCCTTAACCTTCAGTGTAATGGACACACTAATGAAACACAACCACCGACATAGATTTGAAAACTTTTATTTTCAGTAAATATTTGATTAAAATCAAGATAAATTCTCAAGAAGTTATTGAAGTCTCTGTTACTATTTTGCCTTCTTGTAACATGACCTGATTTCATTTGATTTTTTAAAACGTGTAAGTTAAACTCATCTACTTTTCCAATGACTGTATATAGCTGTATGTATACATTTTACAGGCTTAAATACATGCATTAATTTCAATCATATTTATTAAACACATTATGGTCAACTTATAGATTAAAAAAATGTTTCCTCTTATAATTTATATTCTGATGAAAGGGCAGACAATGTGTAAGTGAATGCATTTTGAACTGCAATACTTTGAAACTGTTAAGAATAAAGATAAAACAGGAAAAGAGAAGAAACAAGTAATAGTAAAAACAGTATTTTGACATATGGATCAAGAGGATTGCTGGAGAACAGAGAAACCAATCATGAAACATGTAGAACTGAGAAAGAGAAGACCAAGAAAGGGGTGTGTGTACTGTCATCGTTAACTTTCTTCTGATGAGGAAAATGCTACTTTGTATATCATTAAATTTTAACCAATAACCTTTAAACAAAGAAAGAAAACAAACAAACAACAAAACAAACCAGAAATAAAACGTGAAGACCCCGGCTAGTATCCATAGCATGAACCCCTTTCTAGCCACGACTTTTTCCCACAGTGGTCAGATCCCGGAATATCTGAAGTATACCCTATATAGAAACAATGTTGGAGGCATTCGGGGACAAACAATACACTGTAAATGACTAGGACAGTTGTATTCTTGGGGAAACTCAAGAAATAAAATCAGTAGTATTATTAGCTTTATATCAGAACATCTCAAGAAAATTAGTTGACAGTTTAGAACATTCTTGAAAGTCAAAGTTGTTCATAAACCATATGGGCAGTTCTGGGCAACCACACAGCTGCAGGTTTAACTGGCAGTTGCTCGCAGAGTCTTTGGGGTCACTTACTGCAGCTATTTGTCATAGGCTGCTCTTTTTAGTGGAACCAAGGGTGAAATTGGTGAAGGGGAACTGAGGGGGCAGTGGTTGTAAGAGCTCATCTTTGGACAGTGTGCAACATGGTCAGAGAGGTTAGAGAACATGGTTAGAGTGTTTAGGTTGGCCACCACAGTGGGTACACACACCCAGAGAAGACTACAGAAACAGTAGCCCATGGAAGTACCTTTCTTGTGGGACTACCTGTTGTCTTTAGATGAAAATTGCAAACAGCCATTGCAAAGGAATGACATTGTAATGAAAATCATGTTGGCATTTCTAATAAGAAGGTTGGTGAAACTTTGGGAATATATTCTTATAAAATGCTAGAGTATATGCTGAAAGAAAAGGGCTTTGGGATGAGTTTTACATGAAAATATAGTAACTCTCAAGGCAAACTTTAATTCTTTGATGTGCTAATAACATTAGTGTTTTCTGTTCAATAATACATTTTTCTGTATTTGGTGATGGCTGCTTTAGTAAATCCTTTCTGATTTCATGGCAAGACTAGTTTTCATCAACAATAAAATCAGCTAAAAACCTTCAAAGAGAAGTGGCGGCTGCCTGTTGGGCATGCTGGGGTAAACCCCACACCGTTATCCTGGGCTCTGCTTGACATCAATCAGGCTCACGATTTCTCAGACCCTGAAGCAGCAAAGCCATACTCATTGATTGTCAGTAATGCTGTGGTTGGTTACATAGACACTTGTTTGAGTCCTTTAATGTATGTAACAATTTATAACCCTACAGACCCAAGAGCTCAGATGCCCCAGCTTCCACCTTAGCTATGGCTGCATAGTGGGCAGGAAATCAACAATTTCTTGCTTCAGTTTCCTTCTATAGACAAGCATTCCTTGCTCATTACGACTTCCAGCAGAGATGTGGAATATGCATCTTTATTGGATTACACATCCTCTGGGTTTATGAATGGCAAGAAAATATTATAAATTATAGATGGCTCCATTTTTATTCTCAATTTCTTCATTGAATTCTTCTATATCTCTATCTCCACTCTAAAGAGTTAAAGTGGCAACTTGGCAGGTCCCATCTAGAGTACGAGGTGCTGAATTATGAACACATATTTTATGAGGACAAAATGAAATATGTCTTTCAGTATTGAACCAATATATTATTTCAAAATATGATATATTTAGACTCTAGTGATCAAGTAATTACAGGGATTGGGTTTTAGTTGAAGCTAAAATATATCATCATATTTGAGAAATATGATTTTCCTATTAGTGTCTTTTCTTTTTATGTATGAGCAATTTGTCATTCACTGTAGTATACCATGACCTTAAAATGAAAAAGAAAAAAAGAACATAAATCTATCCAGCCTTAGTTTTTTTTAACAAGCTTCAATGAGAAAATAAATATGAGGTATCCCTTTTTTATGTAGTGAGTTGAGAACATTTTATGTTAAATTACTAAGTCCCTGTATTTTGATTTTATTAAAAGCTGGTACAATTCTGTCTAATTATTATAACCATGACTGTGTTGTTTAATTTTTCTGTGGCAACAAAAACAAATATCCACTCCCCTGAGACGTGGTACCCAAGGCAAATCCAAGTAAGGATTCCACTCAAGCCTAAATTAGTGAACCAGGAAAGATTGGGGGACACCGATTCCACCCAAATCTCACTAGTGACGCATGAAGGGTTGGGAGTCATTGATTCCACCCGAGTCTCACTAGTGAACCAGGAAGAATTGGGGTCATTGATTCCACCCAAGCCTCACTAGTGAACCAGGAAGAATTGGGGTCATTGATTCCACCCAAGTCTCACTAGTGAACCAGGGAGGATTGGGGGGTCATTGACAAGAGCAGAGCTGACTCAAAGCACAGCTGACTTGAAAAGTTCACCCTAGTATGGAAGGTAAGTTAAGACAGCTGCATCCGTGGAGCTGCCTGCATGACTCCCAGGTGACCTTGGCCAGTCAGAGAATCTTTTCCCCCAACCATTATTTACTGCTGGCATAACCCCAGGGAGGAAAATTGGAAGTCTTGTAAGTTTCAGTTTTTTTGAGACTTTGAAATTTTTTTTAATTCTTACGATCTTTCCTCCTCACTCCAAGAAGGAACGTTTCTGTTGGAGGACATCACTACACAACAAAGAGCATTTAGAGCATTTTCAGGA